AAAGATATCAACGTTACGTTACTTCGAGATTAAAGATATCGAAGATAATCTCTCTGTGTTCCAGTCGGTATTACAGAACGTTTTTTCATCTGTAAATCGACAGATATTAAAAATTGTAAATTATTCCATATAACATGAAAAATATAAGTAAACGAAACAAACTTTGTAACATTACAATACTAACGTACTTGGGATTACTAGTGGATCCTCGTAACCGGTTTGGGTGCAATAAAGTACGCGTCCCAGAAAAGGTTCTCTGTATGCATTTTATGTAGTTGGTAAATTTCAACAGTTCGAACTTTTGATAAAATGTAGAGTACGTTAATTGATCTTACCATTTTGTTATTGTTTCAATAAATCTGCAGCTTCAGGATTTAATGCATACAGAGACCTTTTTCTGAGAAGCGTACTTTATTGCACCCACACCGGTTACGAGGACCCACTAGTAATTCCAGGTACGTTACTATTGTAACGTTACAAATAGTTTGTAACATTATATTTAAACAATTCTTTTTTTCACAAAAAATGTCAATGAAAATTTTTTAAAAATTATTGTTTAACAAATGCAAACAAACTTAATTATCTATAGTTTAAAATAACTATTTTTTAAATATTTTTCGTGAAAATTTCATTGCAATATCTTCGATGGTTCAAAAGTTATAACAGAATGTCACTAAATTCCTCGATCCAGCCCACTGTGAGCCGTTGTCGACGCGACGAGAAATCGAGACGACGACGACGACGACACTGACGACGGAACCGTTCTGTTCTTTTGCAGGAACCGCGAGCCGGTGGTGCGGAACGAACGGATCGAAGTGCGGAAGATGAGGCTGCACGTTCATCGGGCGGTCCCCGAAGACAGCGGGATGTACAGCTGCCTGGCGAAGAACGAGGCTGGATCGTCGCCAAAGATGGAAAGTTATCCGCTGACCGTGTCGGGCAACGAGTCCGCCACGATCAAGGTCGTCCCGAGGAACCTAATCGCGAAGCGCGGCGAACCCGCCGTACTCCACTGCATCTTCGAGGACGCTGACGTCGTGCAGTGGTTCTTCAAGGACATCGGCCCGCTGGAAACCGACGAGGAGAGGACCGTGCTCGAGAACGACACTTTGGTGATCCGTTCGGCCGAGCACAGGGATCAAGGATTCTATTCCTGCCACGGGGAGAGGGGCAACACCACCGTCACCTACACGGTCGAGCTTCAAATAGCTTGTAAGCATACAACTATAGTCGTTTTCCTAAGTTATTTCGGGCGCGTCGATTATCGCCCTAAAGAAAACAGGGTCTCCGATTTACGAGAACGCGACCGTGCTCGTACCTTTTCCCAAAATGCTGGCCAAAATGCAATTTTCGAGCGGTTCTCTCACTGTTAAACGAGCATGTCGGCGTTTTTATGTACTTTAAAAGTAGTTTTTCTAATAGTTCGTGCGATAAATACAGAAAATAATAGGCATCTTTGAATATAGCGATAATAATAATGTTTATTGTGACAATAGGGTGGACTCTTTGTTGCAGAGAATTGTTAATTGTGGCATTTCCGGGAAATGAGGGGTTCCTGAGGTCATTTGAAGTAACTTTTTTCTTTGCGCAAATGCAATCCGCCGTTTTGTTTACGAGATATTCACGGAAAACGATGACCAATGGGAGGCGAGAGACTGGCTGGCGCGAGGCGGCCGTGCCAATCAGTGGAACTGGCCTTCGGCCGCCCGTTGGCTCGGCCGCCTCGCGCCAGCTGATCTCGCTTCTCATTGGTCAGTATTTTTCGTTGATAACTCGTAAACAAAGCCGCGGATTGCATTTTCGCTAAGGAAAAAGTTGCTTCGAATAACCTCAGGAACTCCTCATTTCCTGGAAGTACCATAACCTTGGGACAACATCCTGTATAACAAAGATGGTAGCGGTATTAGTAGCTTTGACAATAATAATAGCAATAGTGTACATAATAATAGTAAATAATTATGATAGTAATAATAATAATAATAGCAATAGTGTACATAATAATAACAAATGATTACAATCTGTCTCTTATACACATCTAGATGTGTATAAGAGACAGATTGTAATCATTTGTTATTATTATGTACACTACTGCTGTTACTATTGTTATTACTATTATAATCATTTGTTATTATTATGTACACTACTGCTGTTACTATTGTTATTACTATTATAATCATTTGTTATTATTATGTACACTACTGCTGTTACTATTGTTATTACTATTATAATCATTTGTTATTATTATGTACACTACTGCTGTTACTATTGTTATTACTATTATAATCATTTGTTATTATTATGTACACTACTGCTGTTACTATTGTTATTACTATTATAATCATTTGTTATTATTATGTACACTACTGCTGTTACTATTGTTATTACTATTATAATCATTTGTTATTATTATGTACACTACTGCTGTTACTATTGTTATTACTATTATAATCATTTGTTATTATTATGTACACTACTGCTGTTACTATTGTTATTACTATTATAATCATTTGTTATTATTATGTACACTACTGCTGTTACTATTGTTATTACTATTATAATCATTTGTTATTATTATGTACACTACTGCTGTTACTATTGTTATTACTATTATAATCATTTGTTATTATTATGTACACTACTGCTGTTACTATTGTTATTACTATTATAATCATTTGTTATTATTATGTACACTACTGCTGTTACTATTGTTATTACTATTATAATCATTTGTTATTATTATGTACACTACTGCTGTTACTATTGTTATTACTATTATAATCATTTGTTATTATTATGTACACTACTGCTGTTACTATTGTTATTACTATTATAATCATTTGTTATTATTATGTACACTACTGCTGTTACTATTGTTATTACTATTATAATCATTTGTTATTATTATGTACACTACTGCTGTTACTATTGTTATTACTATTATAATCATTTGTTATTATTATGTACACTACTGCTGTTACTATTGTTATTACTATTATAATCATTTGTTATTATTATGTACACTACTGCTGTTACTATTGTTATTACTATTATAATCATTTGTTATTATTATGTACACTACTGCTGTTACTATTGTTATTACTATTATAATCATTTGTTATTATTATGTACACTACTGCTGTTACTATTGTTATTACTATTATAATCATTTGTTATTATTATGTACACTACTGCTGTTACTATTGTTATTACTATTATAATCATTTGTTATTATTATGTACACTACTGCTGTTACTATTGTTATTACTATTATAATCATTTGTTATTATTATGTACACTACTGCTGTTACTATTGTTATTACTATTATAATCATTTGTTATTATTATGTACACTACTGCTGTTACTATTGTTATTACTATTATAATCATTTGTTATTATTATGTACACTACTGCTGTTACTATTGTTATTACTATTATAATCATTTGTTATTATTATGTACACTACTGCTGTTACTATTGTTATTACTATTATAATCATTTGTTATTATTATGTACACTACTGCTGTTACTATTGTTATTACTATTATAATCATTTGTTATTATTATGTACACTACTGCTGTTACTATTGTTATTACTATTATAATCATTTGTTATTATTATGTACACTACTGCTGTTACTATTGTTATTACTATTATAATCATTTGTTATTATTATGTACACTACTGCTGTTACTATTGTTATTACTATTATAATCATTTGTTATTATTATGTACACTACTGCTGTTACTATTGTTATTACTATTATAATCATTTGTTATTATTATGTACACTACTGCTGTTACTATTGTTATTACTATTATAATCATTTGTTATTATTATGTACACTACTGCTGTTACTATTGTTATTACTATTATAATCATTTGTTATTATTATGTACACTATTGCTGAGATGTGTATAAGAGACAGCAGCAATAGTGTACATAATAACAAATGATAATAATAGTAATAACAATAATAATAGCAACAGTGTACATAATAATAACAAATGACAATAATAGTAATAACAATAGCAACAATAACAATAAGATCAAGAATCGTAGAAACAAGTGGCGCGAGAGCGTCGCATTAAATTTTGCGTTCCAATTACATAAATTATAGCCAAATATCGAGAAGTTATTCGCAAAAAATATGTTGAAACCGATGCTCGAGAACGTGGGAGTGTTTTCATAAAAATTGTACGCAGCTTTGCATCGCGGCCAACCGTTTTGGATAAGGCGTCACCGTGCTCCTCGAACTCACCGTTGTGTTCCACAGACTTGATGAACCTGTCCGCGGCTTCGTTCGAGCCGCTGCTGCCGAACCAAGTGGCGGTGGTCGGGGAAGATCAGGAGCTCCAGGTCAGCTGCTTGGAGCCTTCCGGCTTGCCGTCTCCCAAGGTCTACTGGAAGGATCCCAAGGGACACATTATAAGCGACTCCGGGGCTGTGCGGGTTCAAGATAATACGCTTATCGTCGCGAAGGCTCGAATGGGCGAGGACGACGGCAATTATACTTGCGTCGCCGAGAATATGGCCGGGGAGACCGAAATATCCGCTCAAGTGCTTATATCGAGTAAGTCGCGGCGGTTTCGCGTCGTTGCGATCCCGAGACCGACATCGCCCTCCGTGGTTTGTCCATTTTCCGATCTTTCCGCGATCGCGCGGCTCTTTTCGTTACAGCTCCGCCCACGCTGATCGCTTCGCCGGAGAGCCAGAGCGCGATGGAGGGCGATTCCGTGACCATGGCGTGCTCCTATTCCGGAATGGAGCCGCCCGTGACCCACGTTCGCTGGCTGAAGGACGCCGAACCGCTGAAGGAGACCGGCGGGCCCACGCGGCACAGGGTCACCGACAGCCACGGCAACGTGACCCTGCACTTCAAGAGCGCCGACCTCTCCGACAAGGGCAGCTACGTCTGCGAGGTGTCCACCAAGGGCTTCCCGTCGATATTTTCGGAGCCGGCCACGCTGACGGTCGAGGAGAAGCTCAAGTTCTCGCCGCAGCCGGTCGACAAACGGCTGGAGCTCGGCTCCATGGCGAAGGTGCCGTGCAAGTCCCAGGGCGCGACCAATCCGCGGGTCAACTGGATCAAGGAGGGCGTCGGCGAGGATTTCCCGAAACACGTGCAGGACATCAACGGCACGCTCCACTTCAACGGCGTCCTCGAAGAGGACAAAGGCCGCTACACTTGTATAGCGCGCAACGACCAGGGATCGATCAACCACACGATCAGCATCGACGTAGTCAGTGAGTGCGATCACGTAGCATCGGCCGGGGCTGGGTGAACGAGTCGCGCGGCGGGAATATAGGCGCGATCGGTCCTTGAGCACACATAATTTCACCGTTTATGCAACACCCGGTCCCGCGAGACTCGTCTTCGGCTCTGCTGCGATTGTCGTGTTTACCTACAGCGTTGGGTATTCGAACAAACAAGCTAATCCGAGCCTTCGACCTATAGTAGCACGCAATAATTACTTTAAAAATGAATTAAATTGAATCGATAATAATAATAATTGAATATTAATAATAATTGAATCGATAGAGGGGCTAGTTTACTGGACGATGACTGAAATGCTTTTTTTTCAAATTTTGCTATTACTTGGAATGATACAAAAATAGAAATCTCGCGTTTTTAAAATTTTTTAATTTAAATTTAAAATGTCTGTTTTTTTAAGCATGTCTGTTCATGTTCTCAGATCTCGGTAACTTATATGAAGGTTGAAAATTTTATCGAGAGCGGCTCACGTTGTTACGAGTTACAACGAATTAAAGATCGCAAAATTCGCAGTTTTATCACGATTTTGTCCAGAAATTGTAAGAAATCTGCAGTTTTCAAAATGCTTATAAGAAAGTCATTTTTAAAATTTTAGAAAGTTAAAAAACGAGTGTTTCTAATTTTTTTTCTTTTCATTCAAGGTCATTTTATCCAAAGTCTAGTATACTAGTCCTTCTATTATTAAAAAAAATTCAAGTCATTTAGTTCAGTTTTGAAAAAGATATCGTGTTTTAAAACGTGTACGAACACTTTTGTAGGCCACTGTATATTTATCATTGACTATAAAAACAAGCCGCTTGGCTCGTACAATCGTATCTGCACCTTCCAAATTATCCATTTTCGTTCCCAAGCTGAGCGACAATGCGAGAAAAAAAATTACTCTAAAAATATTATTATATATAATATATATATAATTATATATATTATATAATAATATATTAATAATATATACTAATATATAATATTAATATTATATTAATATATTAATAATATATTAATATATAATTTATTATTATATATCAATGACAACATATAATAATTATATACAATATATCTATTATAATAATATATATAAAATAATTTCGAAAAATACCCTCGGCCTTTATGCGAAGCGTCTTTTCTCCGCTCAGACGCGCATCATCTCGACGCTGACAAACCGATTGTTTGTTCTTTGACACAGTCGCGCCCAAGTTCACGATCCAGCCGCTGAACCCGACGGAGGCGGTCGAAGGTTACCCTGTGATGCTGCACTGCGCGGCCGAAGGCGACCCCAAGCCGACCATACAGTGGGACAAGGACTCCCGGATGAACAACTTGAACAATTCGCGGTTCGAAGTTCTGGGCAACGGAAGTTTGTACATAAGGGAAGTGTACATGGGGGACGAGGGGAAATACGGATGCACTGCGGGCAACAGCGGCGGTTTGAAACGGGAGGAGGTTCAGCTGAACGTGAAAGGTAAGAGGATCGCTGCGGTGGAAGACGAGCTCTAAATTAAACGAGAACAAACGACGCGCTCTTTTTACAGCCGGCGACACGTACAGATTCGACACGGACCCGGAGGTGAGCGACGACGGTTCGATGATGACGAAAACGGTGACGATCACGTTGAGCGCTGCCGCGGCTTACATCGTCCTGGTCGTCGGCCTGATGCTGTACTGCCGGTACCGACGTCGTCGCAGGAAGCAACAGTATCTTCAGGAACAGGCCGAAGGTATCGTATCGTGTAACGAATGTCGCGAGAATATTGTATCGAGAAGCGCAGTACAGTAACGTCGCCCTAATTCGCGCTCAGATTGTGCGCAAAAATGAACAATTTGGGAAGAGTTGATACGATTATTCGAGCCTTGCAGCTCGTTTTTATAGTTGTTGACAGTTCGTAACTATAAAAACGAACCGCAAGGCTCGAATAATCGTATCTCCTCTTCTCAAATTGTCCATTTTTGTGCACAGTCTGAGCGTCAATTAGGGAGAATTTATTGTAGTCTCGTGTACGCGGGACCCGCCAGGCCCCGCGACGTCTAACGTAGCTACTACGAACTTTATTCAATTTATTCCTGTGAAGGTCGTCATAGCATATTACAGTTAATTCTCCCTAATTGACCCTCGGCTTGGAAACAACAAAAAAATGGATAATTTGAGAGGAGATACGATTGTTCGAGCCTTGCAACTCGTTTTTATAGTTGTTGAAAGTTCGTAACTTCTCTTCCCAAATTGTCCATTTTTGTGGACAAACTGAGCATCAATTAGAGAGACATTACTGTATTTCGATAGAGCACTGTACAGGCTGTCCCAAAAATGTCTCGTATTACGGAAATATGGGGTAGCTGAGGTCGTTCTAAGTAACTTTTTCCTTTGTGAAAATTTTCTCCGAGGCACCGTTAACGAGTTATTAACGAAAAACACTGACCAATGAGAGACGAGCTCGGCTGGCGCGGAGCGGCTAATCCGGCTTCGGCCGTCCGTTGACTTGGTCGCCTCGCGCCAGCTGATCTCGCCGCTCATTGGTCACTGTTTTTCGTTAATAACTCGTAAACAGAGCCGCGGATTGCATTTTCGCAAAGGAAAAAGTTACTTAGAACGACCTCGGCTACTCCAAATTTCCGTAACGCGAGTCATTTTTGGGACACCCTGTACTTCGATCGATCGCGGAACCACGTGGATAATTGGAATCTCGTGTTTGCGCAGAGAAACTGGAGAACGGGGAGGTCCAGGAGGAGCAGCAGACCGAGCTGAAGGAGACCGGCAACAGCAAACTGAACTCGACGCACAAGAAGAAGGAGAACCGGGACTCGCACAACAAAAGCGACGGCGCGGACACCGCGCAGAGCCAGAGCAGCAACCAGTCGAAGAAGTCGAAGTCGAACTACGACAAGATCGCGGTGTCCCGCAGCAACTTGAAGGAGCTGAAGCCTCTCGGCCGCGGCGAGTTCGGCGAGATCTACGCGACCAAGTATCAGGTGGAGGGCGACAAGGAGACCCTGGTGATGGTGAAGAGCCTGACGAGCACGAAAGACGAGATGTCCCTGCAGGAGTTCAAGCGGCAGCTGGATCTTCTGCACAAGCTGAACCACGAGAACGTGGTGAAGCTGATCGGTCTGTGCCGCGAGGAGGAGCCGGACTACATGATCCTCGAGTACACCGACTGGGGCGATCTGAAGCAGTTCCTGATCGCCTCGCGGAAAGACAACAACTCGAGTCCGACCCACGAGACGAAGCAACCCCGCGCCCCGCAGCTCTCCGTCGCCCAGATCATCTCCCTGTCGAATCAGGCGGCGAAGGGTTTGAAGCATCTCGCCGACACTCGCCTAGTCCACAAGGACATCGCCGCCCGGAACTGTTTGATCGCCAGCAACCTGACGATCAAGATCTCGATGCCGTGCATGACCAAAGAGCCGTATCAGCAGGAGTACACCAAACACCGGAACCAAGTGATCCCGCTGAGATGGCTGCCGTACGAGGTCGTCTACGAGGACGAGTACTCGACCAAGAGCGACGTCTACTCGTTCGCCTGCCTCGTCTGGGAGATGTTCCATCAGGGCGAGCTCCCGTTCAACAAGATGAACGACGAGTCCGTGCTGGCCGCGCTGAAAACTCAAACGCTCGCGTGGAAGCCGCACAAAGCGGCTCCGCCGGCTTTGCAGGAGCTCCAGGTCCAATGCTGGGCGAACGATCCGCGCGAGAGGCCGACCTTCGACGAGGTCGTCTCGAAAATAGGTGAAATTGTCGTCGACAGCTGTCTCTAGACTGCTCGACGATATGCCACGAGGCTCTAAATCGGGGATATCGGAGCGCGGGGGTAACGATTGCGGGTGAACCGATTTATGGTGGGTGGGGGGGGGGGGCAGGAGACAAGAGCTAGAGAGATCCAAACGCGACGACTCGGTTCTGCAATGGTTACCCGTGCTCCGGTGTTCCGTCGCGTCCATTAGGTCGTTAAGGATATAATTTATTTGTAACGCAAGGATCCGCTCCAATGACTGCTAAACGTCGGGTTAAAGTTTAAGGATAACCGTACGGCCCCGTACACGCTACAATATTATACGACTAAACGCAATATTTAGTACTCAGTATCAGTGTAACGATATAGGTATATCGGTCACGATCGCACATCGAATATTCGTAAGTTTAACGCTATATTGTCGTCACGTCAGAGACCGCAAGCTACAATGTGAACGCATCGTATTTAAGAAAGTATCACGACCATATCAACAATCGAACGAACGACGATTTTTCTATCCGCCTAATTCTCGCGTCTCGACACTCATATACACACACGTATACAGGGTGTCCCGAAAATGTCTCGAAAATCCGGAAATAGGAGGTTCCTGAGGTCATTTGAAGCAACTTTTTCCTTTGCGAACATTTTCTCCGAGGCTTCGTTTACGAGTTATTAACGAAAAACACTGACCAATAAGAGACGGGCTCGGCTCGCGCGCGGCGGCCCAGCCAACGAGCGCACGGAGCCCGGCTCCGCTCATTGGCTCGGCCGTCTCGCGCCAAATGATCTCGTCTCCGATTGGTCACTGTTTTTCGTTGATAACTCGTAAACGAAGTCGCGGATTGCATTTTCGCTGAGGAGGAAGTTGCTTCGAATGACCTCAGGAATCCCCTACTTTCGGATTGCAAGACATTTTTTGGACACTCTGTATACACACGCATATATACACACGTACGTAATGAACACGCTCACACACGTACACACCCAGAAACACGTTGTATTCTGTTAAGGTTTAAGGCTTAAGGATTATTTATAGCGACACCGCTTGTGTCTGAAACGCGCGCGTACTCGCGCGCGCGCGCACGGGAGGGACACGAAAACGAAACGAGGAACGAGAAGACACGAGACAGCTCGAGACCGCTCGATATCACCGCTCGAACAAGATAAGACGAGCGCGAACGGGCTTGTACATACCGAGGGAATAACCGTAAGCTCCGTCGTTAAGTAGAATCGCGCGATGTTTCATTTTCATCCTGATTTCGATTCACCGATTCCGATTTTCATTCGACTTCCGATGGATCGCGGCGCTGTCGTTCATCGTTGTTTCTTGGTCACGATCGAGCTCCGCTATTACGAGCTACGGAAAATATCGTTCACGTGGACTAGTTTCTTCTAAAAATCGCGAAGTTCCCGCGGGAACGAGCCAGGGGAGTCACACGACCGTCCACGGGTGCCACGAAAATTCGCGCAACGGGATCCCTTGCATCGTTCGATCGATCCCGTTTACGATCCGTATCAGCCGCAGAATATTTGATTTTTCGAGCAACAGCTTCTCGCGATCGCTGCAGGTTTCCGAATTATGTTTCGACCGCTTCGAGTTCGAAGGGGGCTGAAAGGGGGTACAAACGACCGAGAACGATTCTCCGAGCGTACAGGAAAGCGAAGAAGAGACGACAGATACTCGAAACGTATTAACGTATTCTCCTCATCCGAGATTACAATTAATTCGTAATCGTGCCCGCGGGAGAGCGACGCGTGCACACACGTTCAGAGCTGTCCGATAGGGGGTTCGAAAGACGGCCAGGAAATCACGGGGCACTGGGTAGACTCGCGAGAGACAGACGGTATCGGAGGAAAGAGCGTAACGATGACGCGCGATGCGAAACGTCGATCAATATTCCAAGTACCCAGCCGAGCTCTGCATACGTATACGCATATAAAATATTATAATGTATCATATACGCATCTAGATGTACGAGACAACTAAGGTAAACAGTACCAGTGCGCATCTCCGTAACGTTAAAGGTTCATAATCATAGCAAATACGACCATTCCCCTAATTTAATGCACCCTCGTCGCACCGAAGGCATCGCGGCCGATTTCGACAAGATCTCGGCCGCGTCGATGCTCGGGGAGTCAGCGTAAATCACGATTCTGCGACGGCGTCCGAACGTTCGCGTCGATCGATCGCGATCCAACGCCCATTTTCATGAAGCCGGACAGAAGTCATCTCGGTCGGGGTGGTCGCGGCGGTCGATCGGCGTCTCGAGGGTTCGCGCGGGTCCGCTCGCAAACGGTCCAAAATCTGGATTGACCAGATGCTTCCTAAATGTTCACAGTATATGCCAAGAAAATATTCTTGTAACATAAAATACGTTAGGAACATACCTTGCAGCAACGTCGCTCGCGCTTGGAGGATCGTCGGGGCCGTGTTCGATCGGGCCCCGACGATACCAAACCGTGCTCTCATATCATTCGCCGATCGAATTTCCCGGAGGCCGCGATCGTCGACCCGTCGTCTTGTCTCCTACGGCATCGGGGAGAAAACGCGGCACGGTTTTTCCAGTCTCGTTCGCGATCCTCGCTCGTCTGGAAAAGTTTACACTCGAGTTTATCGCGCTCGCGCGCGCGCGCGCACCCGCGCACCCGCCCGCTACTCTCTCGTGCTCGCATTCACCGTCGTCGTTTGCGTTTCGCGTAATTGGATGGCAAGACGAGGGGGTCGACTCGGCCGAGCACATCGAGAGAAACAAAGAGAACCAGAGAGACAGAGAGAAAGAGAGAAAATGAGGGAGAGAAAGAGAGAGAGAGAACGTTAGAGAGCGAAAGATGTAGAGTGCAAAAGAGGGAGGGTGAGAGAGAGAGAGAGAGAGAGAGAGAGAGAGAGAGAGAGACAGAGTGAGAGAAGAAAAATGCCGCGCCGGTGATTTTATAACGAAAGCGATCTATTATTGCGCCTAATGTGTCTAGTCATACACGGGAAAACTGTAAGCGAGCAGCGAACGCAAGATCCATTTTTTGAACGAACGTTTTTCATATCCGTAGACGTTTTGTAACCGACTTTTTTCTTTCTTACAGTATTTTGTAAATATTTGTACTTTTTTATCTACACATCGTACTTATGAATCTTTGAAATAGTATGTGCTACGATTAAATAAAGGTGGATAAAAATGGAAAATATACGTACCCAGATTTATTTCAGTCCCCGAACATACAAGGGTGTCCCGAAAATGTCTCGCGATCCGGAAGCGGGAGGTTCCTGAGGTTATTTGAAGCAACTGTTTCCTTTGCGAACATTTTCTCCGAGGCTTCGTTTACGCGTTATTAACGAAAAACACTGACCAATAAGAGGCGAGCTCGGCTGGCGCGCGGCGGCCCAGCCAACGAGCGCACGGAGCCCGGTTCCGCTCATTGGCTCGGCCGTCTCGCGCCAAATGATCTCGCCTCTGATTGGTCACTGTTTTTCGTTGATAACTCGTAAACGAAGCCGCGGACTGCATTTTCGCTAAGGAAAAAGTTGCTTCGAATGATCTCAGGGATCCCCTACTTTCGGATTGCGAGACATTTTTAGGACAGCCTGTATATCCTCTACGGCATCGATGTGCGCGACCGAATTACAATTTACAGGGGACAGCGGATCTTTTTGGTGCGGAGGGATATCGATGGAAAACAACAGACGGTGGTATTACCTAATCAAATTTATTTTTACTTAATATTTCGTAGTACAGTCTATGTCTATTTTTATGATATATAAAATAACGTAGTCGTCGAATGTAAAATGGGTGAAAACGAAAGAACGCTCGTAAACGCCGGCCGAACGTGGGCAGCCGGTAAAAGAAAATCGAGTCAGAGGCAGTCGTACGGTGTGATTATTTGAATGCTTTTATGTATATTTATAGTATTTATATATATATATATTTTTTTTTTCGTATATGTATAGGAAATCAACGTGTATACGAAGAGAAAAACCGATAAACGCAGTTTTGACGCGAAGAGTATGTTTAGTAATACTTATATTATTTATATATAAAGTCTAATGAATTACTTAATCCGTTACTTATAGTACTTAATTCATTAATATAGTAGCAGCCTCACTCTCTAAATAGTACTAAATATAATAATGGTATAATGCGGTAATTATCGTTAATATAGATTATTAACGTCATAAATAATAATCGTCAGAATCGTATAATAAACAATCGTACAATGTGTTTTTTGTGATTTTAGTGTTTTTCATTTTTTTCTTTAAATGTTATCATATAGTTATAATCACAATAGCGTATTCTGAAAAATAGATCAGGGTCCCGTGGGCAGAGAGCGGAGTACCTCGTTTTTTTAATACCGAATCACCGTATTAGCAAAAATTACCACCGAACAAGAAGTCGCTCGCGCTCGCGTATTCGTTTCTCGATCACCCCCGTCGGCGTCATCTCGCGCCCATCGCGTCGGTCTCTCCCGCGAGTGACTCCGACGAAAAGATTTTTAGCGAACGATCGGAGAAATCGAATCCCTCTTTTCCCCTGTTCCTCGATCGATCCCGAACAACTGGTTCCCGGGACAAAGGCGAACGGACGATCCGGCCGCGAGTCTCGCCTCGTAAACAGTAGGAGTAGTAGTAGTAGTAGTAGTAATAGTAATAGTATCCCTAGCATTAATAGTAGTCGGTAGTACCGATTGTATCTACCGATTCGCAGTAGTAGTACCATACGCTATCGCTCGTTACTGTCGCGGCGAACCGGTTCTCGTCAGGCTGGCGGACGTTCCGCGACCGTTTGCGTTTCCGCGGACCGTCCGAGTATCGTTTCGAGCTCCCGACGGGATCTCGTCCGGCCGCCGTTGTCCCGCGACGGGACAAGGAATCGATCCTGCAACGGGTCTCTCGCGGAACTCTTCGGCGCGACGTCGAATTCGCGGTTCTCTCAATCGCCCCCGCGGGGAAACACGGACGTCGTAATCGACCGCTCGGAAACGAACGATCGTTGCCGCGTTTTATCTCCGTCTCTGCCTCGAGACAGACAGACGGACGACTCGGCGATCGACTCGGAAACCCGCCGGCTGTTTTTCCCTCCGCGTTTCCACAGATTCCCGACGCGCGCGGGGTGTACGCGGTTCTCTCTCTCTTTCCACGCGTATCTTCGCCCCTCGCGATTCCGCCGTTTCCCTTCTCCCCGCGGCCTCCCTCCCTCCGCGACCAACCAGCCTCTCGCGTTTGCATTTTAATCGCGTCTCTGCCGCTCTGCCTAGGGAACCCACTATAACAGGGCACTATGAACAGCAGTCTGCTGGCTAAGAGACTTTCCGAATCTATCAATCGCTCCTCGTCATTTTCTCCCTCTCGCTCGCATTTTCTTCCTTCCATTCCTTCTTGTCCTCTCTCATTCTCTCTCTCTCTCTCTCTCTCTCTCTCTCACTCTCTCCCTTTCGCACCAGCTTCTTCTCCCTCCCTTTCTCGCTCGGCACCACGTTCCCGTTCGTTTCGTCGTTCCGTTTGTTCGTCCCGCGCCGCGACATTTCCGTGTTCCTCTCAATCCCATCGTTCGCCCCTTCTTCATTCATTTATATTCTTTTCTTTTTTAATCCCTACTCTTAATGCTACTTGAAACGCGACGTCGGTCGTGACTTGTCGCGATGACGTGACGTGACGTGACGTGTGACGCGACGCGACGTGACGCGACGTGACGCTTGTTTATCTTTAGTACCACCTTTTTCCACGCAGATACCCCGACTTCTCGCTCGTTGTAAACAACGAGCTACGTCGGGCCTAAAATACATAATATAGTAATGGAAACGAGTCCCTCTCTTCTTCTCTCACCTCCTCGTCGGCCCGTCCACCGTTTCGTTTCGCGTTCGCTCTGCGATCCACCGATTCCTTCGTCGCGATGTTCTCTCTCTCTCTCTTTTTTCCGAAGACCGAGCGCGCCTCGCGAGATTTTCCACGGCCGGAGACGCGTCGCAGCGTCTCGATTTCTTTCATGCCGTTCCCGCGAATTGTTGGCGAATTCGCTGTTGGCCGCGTCGAAGACGCATATCGGTGGATCGAATCGCGGGACAGTAGAATAATAAGATGGGTAATTAGCGGCGACGAGGAGCCGAGAGCGATCTCTTGGATTAATGCGTTCAACATGCACCTCGGAATCGACAAAAGCACTCGTATGCCAGCATGCTTCTCCTATGTCCACACTACGTGTCAGCCGATAGTTATCACTACTGTACCTTTTTTCGCGTTATGATGCTTTTACTTTAGTTTTTTTTTTTTAAATTATTTTTTTTTATTCGTTAATATTAGACGTGCCGTGTCTCTATCGTCAGCCTACTGCGGAAACACTACTTTATCGTTCTCTTATCTTTCTCTCGCATTCATTCTCTCCCTCTCTCTCTCTCTCTCGCTCGCTCGCTCGCTCTCTCTTCCTCTATCTTTCTACGAGTCACACTACTCTCTTTCTTCAACGCTGTTTCGCGTTCGCTATCTCCCTATCTCTCACGCGCATCCCTCTCTCCCCTCTTTCGCTCCCGATTACATTCGCGTTCTCAATCTCGTCGCTCTCCGATATTCTCGCGTTTCTCACCGCGTTGCATCCATTCACCCGCCTGCGTTCATAAAGAGTATTATATATAATTCTCGTGTCGTTATAATATAATCATCGGCAATAATATACCTCCGGTATTAATGCAATATCGTTATTATTTAGTATCGTTAATATTATTATTAATTATTATTCATTCTTCGGTACAATATTCTTTTAAAATCGGTCCAGCTCACCGCGAGCGGCCCCAACGAAACCCTTTGCGAGGGGTGCCGCGTGAACAAATGGAACTTGTTGCGAAACTCGAAACGCCGCGTCCAAAATTTTCACTCTTCTCATACCTCTAACACGCTCTCCTCTTTGCCTTCTCTCTCTCTCTCTCTCTCTTACACACTCTCTCGCTCTTTCTCTCTCTCTCTCTCTCTCTCTCTCTCTCTCTCTCTCTCTCTCTCGTTCTCGCCAGCAGTTTCACTCGTTCTCACGCTCGCGCATACGTTCGTGTGCACGCACCCCTCCCTCGAGCGGTGTTTCTCGTCTATAAATTACAGCGAGTCGCGCGACCGTGCACGATAATTATGTAAAGAGGCCTCGAGCCTAATTGTTTTCACCGTATCCAGCTCGAAATCCCGACTCAGGCTCGGCCGTTCGCGATCCCGCGTCCGGCCGCGGTCTTATTCGAAACGTCTGGCCCCGTCGGCGTGCGATTCGTAGCTCGATTCTGCGTTTTGTTAAAAAGGTCGGTGAACAACGTATACAATGGACGAGAGGAGTTTACGATATACGCGTCGCGGAACGACTGATAAAGCCAGGTGATTCGGTCGTTAATTGACAGTGAACGCGCACGTGCCAAGGGTCCGACGTTTCTCGACATTTCATTGCAAAAACTCGACAGAGCCGCCCGTTAAGGGAGCCGTGCCTCTTTACGAATGCGCGAACGCTCTCTCTCTCTCTCTCTCTCTCTCTCTCTCTCTCTCTCTTTCTGTCTCTTTCACTCCCGTCTGCTCATTCGCGCAGATTCTCGCGGAATATCTGTTGGTAGGGTGATCGCACGCTTGCCCTCGAACGTCGCGCGCTCTCTCCCGGCCGAATGTCTCTATCAGTTACAGTAAAAAATAGCGTAAACGGCACTGCATTAGGAAGAAGCAAAATACGTGTTACGTTCTCGTTAATTTATCGTTGATAAATACTACAAGTGTTCGTATCTCTCTCTCTTTTTCTCTCTGTCTCTCTCTCCCTTTCTCACTTTTGTTCACCGTTCTCAAAAGTCCATCGGCAATCGCAATCGTTTAGTTGATAGGTGTGATTAATACTCGGTTAGTTATCGGTAGAGGTGATGAATAGCGGTAATACATGTAAACGGTAAAATGATCGTTCACCCGAATCGAAAGCGTAACGAGGGCTCGGGTCGTGCTGAATTTGTTTCGCGGAGCCGGATATTCGGGATAGTCCCGTGTTAATAACTCTTTCTGCTCGTCGCGCTCTCTCTTTCTCTCTCTCTCTTTCTCACTTTGTCGCATTCTCTCATTTTCGCTTTATTCACTCTGGTCAAATCGAAACGAAACGGATGAAGAGAAAAGAAACGAAAGATCTATGTATACGTGAACTATGTATAGATGCGTATGTATACCGTTCTCGTTTTCTTTCTCTTTGCTTTCTCGTCTCTTTCTTTATCTTTCTCTCTTTCTCTCTCTCTCTCTCGCTCGCTCGCTCGCTCGCTCGCTCTCTGTCTCGCACACTCTCGATCTCACGCATCCGTCTCGCATTCCCTGACGCTCGAAAAGTTCGCTGCAGTTTCTTTGTTTCTCTCATTTCCCGTTTCATTCATTTAATTACAAAGCGCGTAACGGGCGACTCGCCGCTCCGCGGCCGCCACGAGCCGAGCCGATCGATCTCCTCTCGCGCTGTGAACAATTTCCTCTTGTAACATCGTCCTATCGTCGAGGAGGACCCTGCGGGAGGAGGATCGAACGCCGCCAGGTCTGGCACATTTAACACACGATTCGATCAATGTATGCGATCGCGAAGCGTTTCGAAGTCCCTCTTGCGAATTACGCTCAACGCTACTAGTTCAATTTTTTTTTTTTCATAACTTTAGGTACTAATGTGTTTTTTTCCTCTGCTCTCCCTCTACGCCGTTCCGTCACCCGCTCTCTTCGGCGCTCTTGCCATCGTTCCGCAAAACCCGGTCTCTCTCTCTCTCTCTCTCACTCTCTCCCTCTCTCTCCGCTTTCTCTCCCGCCACGTTTACAACTCCCGTACAATTTCCGCGTATCATTGTAAAACTATGACGTCTAAAATGTTCGAATTAACGCTAGATCCTCGATATTAATAATCAGATCGGATAAATTAATAGTCGTTAATAACCGTGTATGTATCCAACTAGGCTAGACTTCGACGGAAAAATATATTTATAAAAAGTTATAATATTAATATACGTTTCAAGCGTTCTATATATATATTTTTTTATTTATATTTATTTATATTTATATATATATATACACACATATATATATATATATTTATGTGTATATATATATATATACCGTTTGCTAATCCTCTACTTATGATCTAAGCTTTCATCGTCAAAACTCTTGTCTCATACATGCTGCGATCATCTAACCCGGGACCGGGACCCATGAAACGGGAAAAGACCCCGGGGTGTATCTACCTAATATTCTTTTTTCTGAATTTTATAATCGTAATAACTGGCTAAACTTTTCACGCTCAAGCACACGCGCATTCGCTCGATTACCTCTCGTCTCTCTCTCTCTCTTTCTCTCTGTTTGAAGTTTCTTTCGTTCCCTAGCCTTCCATTTAGAAATATACAGCCGAACGTAACTCGAGCCTACCAAGCGATTGAAATGAAATAATGCATGAAACTGTCGCGTCCCGTCGTGTATCCTCGACGCATCGGCAACGCAAACCCACCCCCACCCCCCTCCCAGAAAAAGAATCTTCTCTTCTTCCCCCGTCATCGCGCTACTTTCTCCGCGCTCCGTTCTCTTCGTCTATTCCACGTTCGCGATCGAACCACCCCGACAACAACCGCGAAACGAAATCCGAACCATCGAACGGATAAATTCAACCGATACAAACGAAACGTCGCTCGACGAACGTCGTCGCGAATCAACTTGCCCTTCGCGTCCTCCCCTTCCCATCGTCCCCTCCATTTCTCCGCTTTTTTTGTATCTTGGATGGAATCCGTTCCTTATTGGTTTAAACGATACGATCGCGCGATTCCGTCTTCGTTTTGAACACGTTGGACGCGAACCTCTGTCGCCCCCCGGTTTACCCTCTGACCCTAATTTTTCTACGTCCCGACCTCGGTCGGAAACACCGGCTCATATTATAAATATCCTCTCTCTCTCTCTCTCTCTCTCTCTCTCTCTCTGTCCGTTTCCGTCAACCGTCCTTCTTCCGGCGATCGTCGTTCCGCCGCGTTCTCCACGCTTCCTTCGCGCGTTAATCAAACGTTCGCACGCGCCGCCAACCGGAATAATCTCCTCGTTGTCGAAAAATATCTCTCTGACCGCGCGCTTCCATCGGTGCTCGCAGCATTTCATTTTCATGCATTACTTGATTCCAAGAAGATCCGATCCGAGACGATTCTCGGCCGTGTCTCGTCCCCTCCCTTCGTTCGTCCTTCGTTGCCACGCATCTCGATTTCGCAGGATCGGGTCCACAAGCTCCGATCGAACCCCGGCTGATCGCTCTCCCGCGGGCAAATTACAAAAATCTTTTGGCAAAGGTTGAATAGAGAGCGCCGCAGCATATTATCTTTGGCGTACGAAATTTCTTCAGTCTCGCAATGAACACATAAAATCCCGTCGAACGGATACAAACAAGGTCGAACAAAGATTGTTGCGTCTCGAGCAATGGGGCGTGGTGGGGTGGGGGATCGTGTCGGTTAGAAATATAAAAATATGAAAGTTCTAAGCGCGGTGGAGGGACGGCGAGCGGTTCGACGAACGGCTTTCTGTAAAGCGAACCGAGATGCGTACACGTTTTATGTTTTGTGCGACGGGGCCTCTCCACCTGAGATTTCGTTTTCTCCCTACCTCGTTCTTTTGTGCGCCTCTCTGAACGTTTCAACCATCATCGCAACGACCAACAACGGTGTGTTCTTCACACGTTTATACGAATTAATATCTTTGGTATCGTGCCTGAGTCTTTCCATTCGCGAAACGATCGCTACACACGTGAGTCTCTCGTTAGAATCTATAACACGGTTAAAACGCGAACCCGCTTTTTTATCGTATCAAACTTAGAAAACGCGCGCGCGTGTCCCTGTCGGAACCGCGCGGAAGCAAGCCGTTCAAAATGCGCTACATACATACGCCGGAGGTACAACTACGGATATTTTTATCAACGACGAGAGAAGCGTCGGGTTCGATTAACAACATGGCAGCTTCGAAACGCGCGGATCTCCGCGGCAGTAAATGTACGTGTGTGTGTCTATCTGTGTGTGCGCGCGCGTGTGTGTATGACTTTGTATGCACGTGTGTGTTTATATGTCTGCGTACGTATGCATGTATGTACGTATGTGTTTGAACGCGTAGAATCGCGTCCGTCTTTCCTCGTCGACGCATCGTTTTGCTCGCGTAGCCGACCGTCCTCTTTCCTGCTGGAATCATGCGCTTCAGCTTGCGAGAAGAAAGCTCCGTCGTCGGATATCAACGCCGGCCTTTCCATTTCAATTACGAACAGAAACGCGTCGTATATATATCCAGCTGAACCGTCATGGATTCCGCGGGAAGAGCGACGTCGGGGCGTTTTCGCGCGTCGATGGCTCGCGAAACCAGCCCAAACTCATCATCGTATGAAGGAACGCGACGTAAATTTGTACTGTCGACAAAGGAAATCGTGTTCGTCGGTGCCGACGCAACGTTAGAACTGTTCGACCGATCCCAGGGCCCGAGCCTTTCGAGAAAATTCGTTTCAGTCTTTCCGTTTGATAAGGGGTGAATAGAACAGGGCGGGCCCCTTCGCCGATCTCGAAACGAGACGATCCGACGACGATCGTTCGTAGAGGAAAAAGGCGCGGCGTTGAACGTATACGTACGCGCGTGTACGCGCCGGTGCTCGCGCGCGTGTGTTTGCCTCTCGCGCGCTCGTGTCCAACACGTAGGATAAAAGAAATGCGGCAGCGTGACGCTCTCTGCTCGATTGTTCACAGAATGTCGCGAACTTGTCTCGTTTCCCGAAGAAAAACAATAAGCAGGATCGAAAGAAGAAACAATTCATCGGCGTTGATCGTTGTTTGGCTCCGCTGTTGGATACCGACGCATCGATTCGTTCGCGATTCGATTCCGATTCCGATTCCGATTCCGACGGTAGCCGTTTCGAAAAATGGCAGCGATGAATTCTTGTGAACAACGGACCGTCGAGTTCATCATCGCCGCCTTCGTACGCGCTTGTCGTCTGAAATTCGTCGAAGAGAGTCGTTCGAGTCGCACCATCTCCCCGTTCACCATTTCCATCGGTTACAATCTCCTGCATCTTCTCATTCTCCCCATTATGCAACCATTCTTTCTCTCGTTCTCTCCCTGTCTCAAGCACGCTCTCTTTCTCTCTCTCGCTCTCTCTCTCTTTCTGACCCTTTCTCTCAACGCCTAGAAAACTTCTCGTCATATAGAATATATCACATACGCGTTATTCTCTAAACACACCGAAATAAGAAGCACTTTAAGATAGATGTCTACTTGTATCATTTTGCCCAAATTTCTAGATGGACTGATTCTCATGTCTCTGCTTTCCCTATGCCGCTCGTAAGATTCTTAAACCGTTGTATATATGCTATTTGTCGTTTTCTTTGTATATACGTGTTATTTACATACAAGCCCTGTACCTCTCCCGCTCGTTCTCCGACAACGCTGCGCTTTCGAATCTTCTTCCGTCTGCTTTGTCAACTCTCTCTCTCTCTCTCTCTCTCTCTCTCTCTCTCTCTGTCTATACGAAAACAGATGTCGCGCACGCACGCTTTCTCTCCCGTTACCCTCTCTCTCTTCCTCTCTCTCTCTCTCTCTCTCTCTCTCTCTCTCTCTCTCTGTCTTTCTCTCTGTCTATCTGTGCGTCTCTATTACGTATATTCTGTAGCTCGGAGAAACGTGCGCTCCGAAAACGTACGAGAAAATTAGGAATCGCGGGAAACTCGACAACAACGACAGCGACAACGACAACTGCAACTACAACGCGACGACGGCGACGGCGACGGCGACGACTTCTTCGCCGAACCGTAATTCGCCTAAATCCATCGTTTAACAAAGGCAACGCGACGATTTCCGCGATTCCGCGTGAAACGGTCGATCGTTTATGGCACGGTGCCGCGCAAACCACGAAGCCCGATAACCTTCCATCTTCGATTTCCTCTTGTCGACGATCGAATTACGAGGCACGCGGTAGTATTACGCGTACAATAATGGCACTGTCGATCACTCGCTAGTTAAATATTACAACATTAGAAAAATCGCAACACGAGTCCCGACGATAGTCTCTTTTAATTGACTTCACACGAGAAGAAACCTTGCCGTAATACGACGCGCGTGCACGCGGCAATCCGGTTCTTTAGAAAAACAAACGATCGGAACGAAACGGCGGAGATCGCCGCGTCGCGATCGCGCCGGGCTTGCTCGCTCGCTCGCTCGCTCGTTCGCTCGCTCGATCGATCGATCGGCGATCGAAAACGCTCGGACCTCCGTCGTCGAAGAAGACTCGGAAACGATCCGAGTGGAGGCCTCTGTCGTACTCGCGTTCTCTCCGTCTTCTCGATCGTTGCGCCACTCTCGGCGCGCGATCTCGGCGATCCTTCGGCGATCCTCCGACTCGATCGACGCGCGCGCGCGTACACAGCTACATCCAACGTGCACGTTTGTGGCACGTGCAGGCGTAGATCGGCGATTCGAACGGCGTATCCGCGCAACGAAAACCGGGCAAGAAGGGAGTATATAACTAGGACGAGGGAAGAAGGGGGTGGTGGTGGTTCTCCTCGGCTCGTTCGAGCGCGCCCCGCTATACGAGATCGGTACGCGCGACGGACCTGCGATGGTACGGCGTGCCGGTCGCGGGCATCGTCGGTGTCGTTGCTGCTGTTGTTGTTGCCGTTGCTGTAGCCGGCGTCGCGTAACAAGAAGCGGTGTACGACGGCGGCGGTGAGGATCGCGGCGCCGACGACGACGACGACGACTATGAGCGGTAGATGAAGCTGCAGGGCGGCGTCGGCGGTGGCGGCGAGCCGCCGGTCATGGCGATCGGTACGAGGGTGGGCGAAGGTGACGAGGAGGGAGGAGACGGGGAACTCGACGATACGCTCGAGGGCGGCGAGGGCGACTCGAGCGTCCTCGGGCCCGCGAGCTCGCGGTTCGAAAGTCCCCCGGACGTGACAATCGCGTTACGACGATTGCGCGCCGGCCGTCCTAGGCTCCGGTGACGGCCGCCTCCCTCCTCGCTCGTTTCTCAGAGATAAACCTTCTTCACGCTGCGGGTGGTTGCGAATCCGTCGTTGCGCCTGTACGCGTCGCCCTGGTGCGACCGCAGGGTCCCGAAGTTGTCCCTCGGCCCGCGGAACCCGTATCCGTCCGGAAACTGGAACAGCGTTTCCGTCGGCGTCGGCGGCGGCTTTCGCATCGTGCCCTTCGGGGAGTGCAGCTTCGGGGGCTGCGGGACCAGCACCGGCTCCGCGTACGTCACCTCCTCCTGCGGCAGCAGCTTCGGCTCCGGCGCTAGCCTGCTGCAACCAATGAAAACCGATCGTCGGCACGTGAACTCGTCGACTGGACTACACAGGATGTCCCAAAAATGTCTCGCAATCCGGAAATGGCGGGTTCCTCGGATCATTCGAAGCAACTTCTTCCTTGACAAAAATGTTCCCCGATGTAACCTTAACGAGTTATCAACGAAAAACAGTGACCAATAAGAATTGCCCCCTAGCCTGACACGCTGTACAATTGCTGTCGTGTGGCACTTTGGGGGCAAAGCAATCCACAAAACTCCTTACACGGACGCGGAGTTAAGACTGGGTCTTCCGTACCCGGCCTAATGACCGATAAGAGAAGGCGTTGGTTTACCCACGTTCGGACCCCTCGTAGGTGTTCCGTCGGGGGGTGGGTACTAAATTTCTTGTGTATGCCAGACCTGGCGAGGAAACATATCTGCGCCACCTCCGTGGTGGCCAGATTTGCAATAAATGACCAATAAGAATCGAGTACGGCTGGAGGCGGCCCAGCCAATCAGCGCGCGAAGCCCAGTTCCGCTCATTGGCTCGGTCGCCTCGCGCCGGCTGAGCTGGGATTCGACCGCCTCGACCGCTGGCGCCGTTGACTCGGCCGCCTCGCGCCAGCCGAGCTCGCCTCTCATTGGTCACTGTTTCTCGTTAATAACTCGTTAACGGTGCCTCGGAGAACATTTTTGTAAAGGAAGAAATTGCTTTGAATGACCTGAGGAACCCGCCACTTTCGGATTGCGAGACATTTTTGGGACACCCTGTATAGCTAACGACTGCGTAGCGCAGCCGATTGTTCGCAGCGTTCGCTAATCAGGCCAACAAGCTCGTTCAAGCCCGCGATTAGCTCGAACGACTTGTACCTGTGTTCGGGTGAGTGGTTGGCTTCGAGCACGATATCGCGACTCAAGCTAATTCGAGCCAGACCTGAAATAAGGCGGAATGAAATTGAACATACGGAAACCGGTCCAAAGATGTCAAGTGTTATCTGAAAGAGTCGGGATAACGTGCTCTCGACGGGTCTGCGTTCCGCTTCGTTTCGACAATTCTACTTGTATACTTGAACGGCTCGGACGACTTGGAACAAGCTCCGAACCGACAAGCCTGTCAAGCTTAATGAATCCGTTTCACTGTAGGTACAAGCCGTCGGAGCTGATCGAAGGCTCGAATTAGATTGTTCGAATTCACAACACTAGCTGTTTCACATCTTATCAGCACGTTGAAAATGGACATTTTTAGTCTGTTCGAAATCAATCAAGCTTCTATCTTATGTTCCTGTGTTCTTATATTTCTTATTTCGTAACGTACGAATTCGTTAAGACGAATTCAACGATACAAATATCACGATTAGACTGCGGATTTGATGATGATGATGATGATGATGGACTGGCAGAGATGAATAGATCAAATTCAAAACGGTGAAGGTATTTAAAGAATATAAAAATACGATTGCATCAACTCGTTAAAATTGTTAAGAAAGGAAATAAATGTTCGCCACGGTCCGACATTTTGCAGTCAATGCAGGCAACTTTTATTTCGTACGAAGATCTGCAGCCTAGTTATGATTGTTAAACGGTTAAAAACCCCGAAATGTTCTTGTCCCGCTAATCGGTCCAAAAACAGTAAATTCTCCCTAATTGACGCGCTCGGATTGTACAGAAAAGTGGACAATTTGGGAAGTGGAGATGCGATAATTATATAAAAATAATATTTATTATTTGCTATTTATATGTTA